GATGCGGTACTAAACTTTTTTAAGTACTTTTTCATAATATATATAAAATCTAAAAGTAGTAAAGTATAAAAAGGTTGCGAGTTTTATATCCGCATCCACACTGTATGTTTTCATGCAAAAGAAAATGATATTTGCATTCATATGTCGAACTCGATCTCGACCAAGCATATTGTCCGATGGTCTGGATCCAGCAGGACGCGTGGACATACACACGCAAGTAGTGTGAGTGCATTGTTGACTGTTCAGTCACGAGAGGCAAATCCGAACCGAACGGATGGCATAAAAGAGTGAGGAAGCGTCAGGGAAAAAATCGCAAAATCAGAATGCATGTTACACGCTTTCATGGCCAGCAGCAGGGTTTTTATTTGCATTTTTTAGCGCGGACACACGTTGGATCTATTTTGGAACGTGTAGGAGTTCAATACATTTTTGTACTTTATCTATTGGCTTGCATATTTTATTATATTTGCATAAAGGTGGAGAATAATTCGTAGAATAATAAAATAATAGTAATAGAAACAGTAAGTAATCGGGTTAGTTTCTATTTGTATTTATAAAGCCAAGTTGTGTTAGTTAAAACGTTTATAACTCAAGAACGACTGGACAAATTTTGATTATTTATAATTGGTTAGATTAGTCTTGGTCAAGAAAAGGAGAATAAGTATTAAAATACTACAAATTATATTATACAGGGTGTTAAAAAAGAGATGAAAATTGGTTGAAGTATTTGTAGTAGTTTTTATTTTAAATCTTCGACATTCACTCGCAAAAAAACTGTGAAATGTAACCCCGTGATTTAAGCCCGTGACTAAAGCACTTTAGTCACGGTTTTGGCAGTCTAAGTATAAAATATCACTTTTTGTGTCTCAAAACCGTGCCAAAATATTACGGTGGATTAATGTATAGAAATGGCAAAGTAAACTGAATTGTGTTTGACATGGAATTAATAACAAGACAATAAAATTTTATCATCCCATAAATTCTATTGTACGTATTTTCCTGTGAAAGATAATTATTGATTTCATATATACTTGTATGATGTCGAATGGCCTAATTATAGCATAAAATGTAAACTTTGATACAATATACTACAGTATCCTGTATTGGTATAGTGTATATTGACACAGACATCCATGTTTCCGGCCTCCCGCCTGTATCGGATGCGATAACGTAAATCCACATAACCTCAACTCTTCAGCCTCAAATGTGGCGCCGAAACTTTCCTGATAAGATATTGAGTTGTAAGATACACCTCGCAGCTATTATATTATACTCCTACGATAAACTTTCCATTGGATTAAGACGTTGAGGTTATGTTTGTGTAAAATTGTCTATTCTGTTTCAATTTGTAGATTAAATTAAATTATTGACGCGTCTTTGTGCACTGCATTATTCTTAATGGTATTAATTGTGTTAGAGTCTGGCGAGACTCTGCTGGAAAAGTAACAAACACAAAGCTTTAGTGAGCGAAAATCCAGTGTAATGGCAGCGGGCACGATTTGCGCGCAAGTTTGGTTTGACGGCATTATTCAAATCGCATTAGAAAACGCGTCTTAGGCACCCCAACAGCCGACACCCGAAAATCGCCGTTGAAGATGCTCGGTTTAACGAGATGCGTGTGCCGGCTGCTCACTGCGGAAACGTGATGCAAAGTAATGCAAAGTGATACTAAGTGGTGGAAATTATGTGAGACTTAACACTTCAGTACGTTTTAAGTATTTGTGCGGATTTACAATAAAATAAAACAAAACAAAAGATTTGCATTTATTAAAAACTAGCTTTTGCCCTCGACTTTGTCTCGGTAGTGTTTAATAAAAATGTAATTCGTTTTACTATTGTGTTCTAGATATAGTATGTGTCAATTCTATCAATATGATTCGCAATTTTATTTTAAAGAAATTAATTATATAAAGAACTAGCTTTTAACCCGCGGCTTCGCTCGCGAATATCTAAAATAATGAAGTTGCTTCCGTACGCGTCTGTAGTCACAGAAGAAGTAACAATGAAGTAGAATGGCGGGAAGTTTAAAATGATTGAAAGTATAGTCTATGGAAGTATAGTGTACAGTCTCCATAGTGTAGTCAATTGGATTTGATGTTGACGTAGCTGTCGGTAATACAGTGTGATAATACAGTGTGATGGTACTATAGTACTTAGGTTTGAGCTTCATTGCTGGAATGCTAGATGGCGTTAAAGCAGTCAAATAGCCAGATGCAGAGGTATTATTGGCTAAACGATTTCTTTATTTTATTTAAAAATAATTTTTTTATTAAATAAAAAGTAGCCTATAACCATTCGGGGACCACTAAGAATATGTGTACAAATTTTCATGATGATCGGTTAAGTAGTTTTTGCGTGAAAGTGTAACAAACATCAGGACTTTCGCATTTATAATATTAGTAGGGATTGCTAATAATGCACTTCAGCGCGTCATCTTGGATTCAACTATTTAACTATAACTATGATTGAAACTCATTGCCAACTTTTTCATATAGAATAGTGCTGTTTTAGGGTTTTCCTGTCAATTATTTAAAATTTTCTCGTCGTAAAATCAACCTTGGACTTTAACAAACTTTTTAAAAAAGAATTGGCCAAATTGGTCAAAGCGTTGTTGAGTTATGCGCTTACCAACAGATTTTGCGATTCGTTTTATATTATAGATATAACTTATGTTGGAGTTAACGTAAATGTCTCAAACATATAAAGTAAAGGAATTACAGGAAAATATTTATGCAAGAATGCAAGTTTTGGAATTTGAATTTTCACATGTTCACAATATGCACGTGCCATACTAGTTCGTAATGGTAACTGTTATCTATTTTATTCCGGGAATTTGTTGTCGCATATTTTAAGTGCCTGCATACTTTCCGGGCACGTCTCACGCGTAGGTTTTCTCCGGAAGGCGCAAATGGGACTTGACACCAATTCATCAATAAAATATGACGTGCATAAATTGATCCCAAAATGGATACTCGACGACTTTTTAAATAAATTATATCTCCTCAAATGCGCACACAGCAGCAATAAAACTAAATGTAGTTTTGCATTTTCAAACGTTTTCAATTACTTTGCGACTTGAAAAGTGCTTAAATATTTACTTCCGGTTTTAAAGTGAATTTCAAAGTCTATTACTTTACAAACCAGCATCTCATTGGCATTTTAAGCTTACGTAAGCTTGAAAATACTTACGTGTTTAGTAACACACGTTTAGTTTTAGGTTTTCTGAAGTCTCCCGAGACGGAGCTTTGAGTTTTGTTTGTTTTGTTGGTATTTGCCAGAATGTAGTGAATTAGCCACGTCCTGCATCGAAAGCTCTGCTGCAGTGACGTAAATCTTTTCTTGATAAAGCAAAATATAAAAGTTTAACGGTAAAAGTTAGAAAAAAGTATTGAAAGCTGTGAAAAGTTTTGTAAACAAAATTACAGTTTCTAACAATATTAGGGTTTATAAATATTTTAGAAAATATAAAAACAAAACATTTTGGGGTAAAAATTAGGAAGTTTTGAGTATTTGCTAAAAGTATTTAATTTTAACTCATTAAAATGTTTCATTTTGCCTCATTAGTATCTTGCGCTGAATCTACGTTTGCGGGTTCATTACGGTGCTTACATTCAATTAAAATGTTTTATTTAAAGAAACACTCGTTAGATGGCGCTACTTGCCAAATATATTACATAAGTGTGGAAATTTCAATATAAAATTTGCAATTTTGTTTTAAAAAATAATAAAAGCTAATAATGCACTTTTGCGCCATCTGGGAGGCAAATATTCAACTATAACTATGATTAAATGGACATATCAACTTTCAACGCTTATTTTACACCCTGTACATCATAATTTTGAATATTTTAATAATTATTCTTTTTTCTAAGTCAAAAAGTATCCTATAAATCATAAATCATCAAAATCTATCAATCCGTTCTTGAGTTATAAATGTTGTAACTAACACTTTGTTCTTTTTGATCAAAATACTGCACAAAATATTTACCCAACTACAATCTGTGCCCTATTATATTAATCTAATCAGGTCAAGGAACCCGCAACATTTGGCTAATTAAAACAAAAGAAACATCCCATCCACTAATGATATAATGTTCTCCATTATCTTCCATTATCTGTATCTCGTTATCGCGAAATATTTCGTGATTTGCACGCGCTGGCAATGACGTTCGCGCACGCAAATTGTTTGATTGTGTCGAGTGGTGCTGTAAGAGAGCCGACTACCTTCAAGCGTGTTTCAAGTGGTTTGCGTACACTTTGCAGCACACGTTGATTAAATTGCAACTTACAAACAATGAGTTCAAAAGCACACACAAATGTTTTCCGCCGTTTTACATGCGGCGCGGCGCGCGCGCGTGGAAAACGAACGAATTTCGCAGCGTGCGCAAACTTAAATTAGAAATTAACTTTAATTAATCACACTTGCACTCGCGTAACGCTAACGTTTAGTTCTGTGTAATTTAATTTCGAAAACAAACACATTGATATTGTTATTCAATCAAAGGTGGCGCTGTTGCACAATATATCATAACTTCATGTATAATATAAAAATGAATCGTAAAGTCTGTTGGTAAGCGCATAACTCAACAACGCCTACACCAATTTGGCCAAGTTCTTTTTTAATGTTTGTTAAAGTCTAAGGATGGTTCTTACAGCGAGAAAAATTTGAATAATTGCCGGGAAAACTCTAAAAACAGCCTTTTTCTATAAGATAAAAGTTGGCATTGAGAATCAATCGTAGTTATAGTTAAATAGTTGAATCCGAGATGGCGTGTTAAAGTGCATTATTAGTAATTCTTTATATAATTAATTTGTTTAAAATAAAATTGCGAATCTTATTGATAGAATTGACACATACTATGTCTAGAACAAGAGAGTAAAAACAAATTACATTTTTTTAAACACAACTGGGACGAAATCGCGGTCAAAAGTCTAAAATAAAACTAAACATTTTAAGTTATTATTTATTTATTTAAAAAATGCATAAATAAGCATGAACATAAATAAATTAATAATAATTTAATGGTTGTCCAGGGATAAATCCAGGTTGACCATAGGTGTCCTTAACCTGTTCACGACGATAATAACTATCCGGAATCTGTGGCCTCTCCGGTTGTTGCGGTACCCTGATATAAACCGGGTATGGTTTTGGTACTTCAACCTTTACTTGCACAGGATACGGCTTGGGTACCTCCACTCTTACAGGTACCTTAACCTCAACTGGTACTCTTACTTCTTTTGTAACATGCACTGGATACGGTTGTGGTTGTGGTACATGCACGGGTACCTTCACTTCTTTGATGACTTGAACAGGGTACGGTACGTTCCTAGTCACTGGTACCTCTACTCTCACCGGGTATGGCTGTCGGACGTAAACTGGGACACGTACTGGTACTTCTACACGTACCGGAACTTTCCTTTCGACTTGTACGGGATACGGTTGGGGGACACGTACCTGCACAGGTACTTTCACTTCTTTTGTTACATGAACAGGGTAGGGTTGTGGTACTGGTACACGAATGTGTACAGGTACTTTCTTTTCGACGTAGACTGGGTATGGTTGGGGGACTTGAACGGGGACACGGATGATTTGAGGTTGTTGGGGTTGTTGAGGTTGTTGAGGGGTCCAGGTGTTCCATTGGTTGATTTGTGGTGGGGGCTGGTATCTTGGTGGGCCGTAGTAGTCTTGAGGGACAGGGCCTAATCCATGGATGAATCAATTGTCATAAAATGACAAAAATCTATAATAAAATTTAAAAAAAACATTATTTGTATAAATAATATAAATAATAACAATTATTGGTAATCTTACAGAAGCAAAACGCATTTTTCGATTTTTGTTGTACACTTTTGGTTAAACAAACTCAAACTGATGATAATATTTAACTTTTTCATCTTTTATACTCACAAAAGATAAATATTTCGAAACTGTTACATAATTTTCGTCACATAAAGAATGCATACATTTATTTGTTACATTGAGCAACGCATACAAGATTTATGCACAGTTTGCATTAAAACCATCTTCTTACCATTCACTATACACTCAATACCAAATAAAAATAAAACCAGTTTTATTTACTTACTATAAATTATTTAAATTGTTTTTTTTTTCCTCTGCGTGAATGATATTGAAAAGTGTGAAAATTCATATTTTCACTTTTTCTTTAAATATGTATGAGCAAGTTTTTATTTGACATGAAAAACACGTTTGTGACTAAAATACAAACATGTAAACATTTGTGATATGATATAACACTGCGCCAGAATTTATTGGATTTCTGCAAAATGTAAAATCGTTCCGGCGGGAATTGTCAGCGAAACGTTTCACCCCGGCGAGGATATAAGAGTATTTACGATTCACGGGACGAGAGTGAATATTATGAGCAACGCGGAATAACGTTTGAAAAAATTGAACGAGAACAAATCCTTTTAACGTTAAACAAGCTTTACTTGCAAGACAAGCATGAAGCAAATAAGCTCAAACTGCTTTTTATTATTATTCTTATCTTTAGCGTAAATATAACCGTCGGAAGAAGAGTTTGTAACAAACATGAAGCTTCAATATATTATGTGAAAATTTTGAGAAAATTTTTGGTATGAATCTGAATAGATGATATTTTCTTATTCTATCAGATGGATAAATATTTCCGGAATACGGAAATGATGTGTATTAGGGAGTGATAACACACATATGCGTGGGTGCGTGCGGGCATCATAAATCAATCCGACGCAGTTTTTTTCGTCGGGTTTGATGACTTAACGAGTCAATCGGTCGATCAAACACATCAATCTTGCTTTCATGGGATTTTATTGTTGCCAAACTGTTTAATTTACTATATTTCCATATTTTCCTCTTTTTTATTTCTTTTATTGCCTAAAAAGACATTTTCTATTATTTCTATAATTAAATATAGAAAAATATTTAAATACTGCGTACTTTCTATTATAATGCATTATAAATCATGACAATAGAAATAAATTATAGATAAATAAATATACAATCCGGTGATTTATTAATTTATCATTGAATCACGCAAATATTACGAATTCAAGGAATAAATAAAATTGCATGCCATAAATCCAGCATGTATCGGTACTTACCTTCTCTTTTTGCATCACCGGAGTTGACTCATAAATTTCCATTAGTTATGTTAATTATGTTGGTGTTGGCCACGCTGTGCGGGCAATTTTATGAGCGTTGGTGCAGGCGTAGGCGTAGGCGGTGCGCCAGTTAACCGAACGAGAGCTGCTACCTGTGCCAGCACATGCAAAACAGGGTGTAAATTTTAATTTGTTTAAGTACCGCGTAATGATTGTTCCGGATGCATATCGCATGATACATTGTGCATACACTTTCAGCTGGAAAATTGAAATATCAAGAAACAGTTGAATAGCAGTATACCTTTAGGTTACTGATTAATTAAGTTATTACTCATACATGAATTAGCATGAAACCACAATTGGATACATTTCTGAGTAATAATTCGTGTCTTTGATCATTGCGCATCGTGGATGGGACACGTATTGTGGTGCAATTTATACTTGAGCTTAAAACCGTTAATGTGCTTAACGTGCGCTTAATGCGCTTAACCCATCATTCTTCCTCGAGGGAGTTCGGTGCTTCCGGAAAAGCGGATCGGACAAGCAGGCGAAAAGTGCATTATATTCAGCTTGATCTCTTACTTGTACTATGCAACTTCTTTTACAATTGTGAATTTAGAAGAAAAGAATGTAGAGTATATTGGGTTGCAGCAATTCAAAATATTCACAAAAAAATAATTCATTTTGATATTTTTCAACATTTCTTTTCTAAAACACTAAAATTGAAATAATAAATGTTATTTAAAGCTAGAAATTTATCATATTAAATAAATACCACATCTTACCACTGATAAATGCCCGGAATTACCGTGAAGCATTGCAAACTTCTCACAACTCGAGTACTTAGCAAATATGACTGCAGGTAAACTTGGCGAATGCAATAATTTCACACATTATTTATGCGCTTGCATTACGTACCACTCAATCACTGATATAAATGGTTTGAAATTAAAAGTATTAGTTCGCTGAAAGTTGGTTAGTAACTGACGTGTTGGGAAACTACTGAAAACTTAAATGAAACATGACATAAGAGAAGTCGTAGAATGTAGAGTGAAATAGTGAGAATGGAATAGTCCACAGTGGAAGAAACAAGGGGTGTATAGGTAGAGTTGACGCGTCGGACGTGCGTGCGTGACGATGACTGGCATCACGTGTGCATGTTGGACCAATCAGAACGTGCGACGTTGCAACACGTCGCGTGATTGCGCTCATGTGACTCAGAAGTGCAGCGTCACTGAAGGTTATTATAGTCGGTGAATTCAAGCTGAAAACATCTAGAAGAATTTGTAAATTATCAGGTATAAAAAAAATTAGTAAAGTTAGTTACAGCGTGTATAACTCAAGAACGGTTGGATAGATTTTGATTATTTCAAATTTATTGTATTCATCTTTGTCCAGAATATGAGAATATTAATTAAAATTTTGAATATTTTGATTTTAATGGTGTTAAATTTGAGGTTAAATTGGAAATAAAATATTAGTCGTAAATATAGTTGCATAATATAATCAGAGAGGGCGCTAAAGCGTATTATTACCATTTCTCATTACTAATTATTAGTAAACTAGTAATTTTATTTTAATTAATCATAAATCACTAGCGAACATTCAGTTTAATCAATGGTCATCATTATTACCCTTTGTAATTGTGGTTTTAATTCATAATGAAGCGTTATTTTAATCACTGCTTTCACTCCCAAATAAATAAACAAACAGCGCTGTTCAATGATACAAAACACCAAATTAATTACTCTCAGTTGCCGAAAATAGAACATTTGAACCATTTAGCCATTCCATCATGGTTAGTATAACATCTCCCCACACGCGTCATGCAAATCCACCGAAATTCTAATAAATTGCGCATTGTCCACGCTTTTAACCCTAATTAAATAACAAATGCACATTACAAATATTATATCATAGTCGCTCATGTGCAGAGCTAGTTTGCATTGTGAGCGGATTGCGTTCGTGCGGTGTCCCCTCGCTTGTTTGCCATCCAGAAACAGTCCGTGAGCTTTTCAATCACGGCGCGCGCGAAACTGAGCGAAAAGCCCACACACAGCACGCCACGATGCGTTTGCGGATTGTGTGGATATTATTATCCGAGGGCAACGCTGTCGCACGTTGCGTTTCTGCACAGTCATCGGCGCATGCAGAATCGGATTTTCATTTGTCAACGGTATTTGTATGTATTTGTTGTTTCGAACTTCATTCGCCGTCAAATGCAGTCAACTGTCTCATTCACAGTTTGTATCTATTCTCAAAAGGTCACAAAGAAAACAATTTGTATTTTATCTTTTAAGATAGAAAATCTTTTGTTCGGTTGTATGTTATTGAATTACTCTTAAACGGTTCGTTCAATTTTGATGAAATTTTTTTGTGGTAAACTACGGGTATTCGTGGATGGTTTATTTGAAAAATTGCATCAGATATGAAAATATTTTAATTTAAAAAAATTAATCAAAAGAAAACAATTTTTTGGTTGTGTTTTTTCGCTGTATTTGATTTCATCAACAACCCCACCCCGTGACTAAAACCCATGACTAAAGTACTTTAGTCACGGCGGTGTTTAAAGTACCACTTTTGATACCACAGTGAAAAAACTAATAATTTTTAAAAATTCTCAAAACTGTTGCACAATGCCGCTAAAAACAGTTTGTAACATTTTGTAACATGTCAATGTCCACGAAAAACGAATCAGTTAACCTAACTTTCGTGATTTCCCTATTATCAACTTGTTTAAACCAACTTTTCGGCCGCTATTTGCCATCGTTTTTGGAGCCAAATAAATTAGTTTCCTTTGTCTAGTGACCTATTACGCAAAGCCAACAAACCAACAAGCCCGACCGAAGCTCCTCAAGCATAATGGACGCACTAAGCATTAAACATTCAACATCCGACTGCGTGGGCGCCGCTGAATTTCTATTTGCACGTTGGTTGTGGGTCATTTTAGAAAATTGTGCGCGCGCGTCCTTTTTCCGACTGTTGACATTTAATATTCGTTGCGCTGTTGACATGAAACCCATCCAATCAATTAAAGCGCGCGCCGGACGCCGACGTTAAATGTGTTGACATTTCTTTTATTCGACGCGCTGCGTTTCGAATGCAATATTCTAGGGCGATGTTATAGTAATTGTGTATAAACAATAAAAGTACATGCGTGCAGTGTTAATATTTGTTTATAAAACTCAATTCTGTTTGTTTATTTGCGAATAATTTTTCATTAAAAAATTGAAAATTTTGAAAAAATTGAAAAATTATTAAGTTTTTTGCCTAGGCAATAAATTTTCAATTTAATATCAAGGCAGTAAAGTAAAGATTTTACTAAAAGTTGTTTATTCGTGAATATTTTAATTTTTTTTCATTAGAAATTTGAAAAATGAGTAAAAATAGAGAAGTTATAGACTTTTCTGCCTAGGCCGTAAATATTTATTTTAATATTAAGGCAGTATAGTAATATTTTACCATTATTTTCAATTAAGTTAATTCTGAATGCCAAAAAATGTATTGTTTTCTTTTTTCTTTAATGCCTAGGCATTTTATTTGTTTACAAGTCTGTTCTTGATTAGTTTCTAACAGATTTCACTTGACGCATTGTTGAATTATCCCTAGAAGATTCTTTCGCAGCGAAATCCTAAGAAACCTCCTCAACAATGAAGAACAATAGACACAGCATTCCTTTTCCCGTATATTTTTTCCCTTTGCTTCCAATTCTATTTGCTTGCTTTCATTTCTGGTAAAGTTGTATACTCGCCAGATTGTACTCAAATACAGCGCGCGTATTTTTCCGTCTTCCGCCTCGTGCGTTGCCTCGTTGTCTCGCCTTCCAATTTCCACCACATACCGAAACACTAAAACGTCCATTCTTGAACTTATTATCCACCTATTCAACGCGTCCAGACACACAACCGCAGGAATAAAAAAAAGAAAAGCGGAATGAGCGAACGAGTGAACAATAAAGTGAACGAGTCATCCCTAACTCCACGAATGCGAATGCGTAGTCCTAGTTGGATTCGAATTCGAATTCGTATTCGGTTCGTATTCAATCGCGTTGGCGGATCGGCGGATCCACGGATGAAATTGAATTATTCGATTACGAAAGAGCCGGGGCGGTGGCGGTGGCTGTGTGGCTGTGGCTGGAAAATGCGGCGTCGAGGGACGCGCCGCGCCGGCGATAGTTTTCGAGGTGACAATGCTTGTCATTTACATTTATTGCCCTTCGCGTATTTGCGCAGCACTCAGCGCAACAACATTGAATTGATGGAATTGATACCACTGCGTAAAAAAAGTGTGTTAGGAAATAACATAGCTAAATTCAAAGTAATACAAAAGTATTACGAGGAACATCTGTGGCTAATTGTTTGGTTTTCAATTAAATTTAAAAATTACTGTTTGAAGAAAACGAAGAGTTATAAAATTTTATGTTTGCGTTAGAAATTCACTTTGTTTTAGTGAAAGAAAGTTAAAAAAAAATTATCCTCGTGACTAAACCCCGTGACTAAAGTACTTTAGTCACGTCCATGTATAAAGTACCACTTTTTCTTTCTCAAAACCGTGGAAAAAATGACAAAATTATGTTTTTAGAAAAAAAATCGGAGAATTTATTTGTTGACCTTCAGATTTTTTCAATGTATACTTTAGATTCCCCCTCCACCAATGAATATATTTCTCTACTAGGCGGATGGTAACAATATCTATTCTGATTTGATATGCAAATTCAATGTTTTACGCAACTACCTCTTTCCAAACACGTCGAAACCGACGAAAACAGAAGTTTTCAACAACATCACTACGTCTGAATCAATTTAAAACAATCAAATAATTTTCCACGTGATAAAATTCAATTCCTTTCCTTTTCTTTAAATTAGTTATCTGTAGTCGATATTTTCAAGTCGAATTTTTTCCTTCCTTCCTTCTTTTCCGTTTTTTTTTATTGCTGTTGTCTCCTAAATTTTGCAACAAATGACGCGGAATTAAACGTCATACATTCAGCCGTCGGTAGCAATGGAATGCAATTATTCGAAGGGGTCCGAAAAAAACATTTCCGAATATTTCGATGGCGCTGACGACGGCTTTGAGCGCCTGCGAAAAGATTGGATGTGTTTGGAAGCGAGAGTTTTGCGCAGGGATAACTTACAAACGACATTAGGCGTCGCGCACATTTTTGTCCGAATCAATGAACAGTGAATTTTCTTCTCTACGCCGAGCTTAAAATCATACTTGTGCAAATCTTAAACTTTTCAAAGCCGACAGAATGGGAGAAAAAAGTTGAGATGTAATCCGGATTAAGTTTTTTTAGTTGTTGAAGTTTGGTGGAGGATAACTTATGGCTTAAAATCAGAGAGTATTGATTGATATGTCATTAAAAGTGAATTTTTAGTATTTAATAATAGTATATTTAGTTTCAAGTGGCTAAATGGTTGCTTTAGTCACGATATTGATTAAGAGCAAGCGTAGCGAGCGTTTAATCAATCTCGTGTTTAACAACGATTAGCCACGTCATGTTTACCTTGTGTTGCTCCGTAGGAAAATGCGCAGGCGCAAGCTCCACCCTGTGACTAAAGCCCGTGACTAAAGTACTGTAGTCACGGCCTTGCTGGTCTGTGTTTAATGTACTACTTTTTGTCTCTAAAAACCGTGGAAAAAGAAATGTTTTAAAGGTAGAAGTAGAAAAAATTATATAGAATATGATTTTAAATATTAATTAGCAGTTATAAAACTTAAAAATGTTTCCTGATGAAGATTTAGTAGTACGAGTATAAGTTCATTTTAATGATATGTGGAATAAAATATGTAATAATACCGTATTTCCTGGTAAGTTGGTACTACTTTCAACATGTGCAAACCGTAAAAAATACTCGTTACTTTATAGGAACATATTTAAATTGCCTAGTTATCTCTTTCATTCGCATTTGAGCGCAAGCCAAATCATATAATATGAGAATTTTGCAATCTTTGCAATTCAATTGATATTCCCCGGAAATATGAAAGCATTTTCTTTCTATAGGAAGAATATTGATAAACTTGGTTTATGCAAAATTGGTTGCAACTACTCGTATGTACTAGTAAATACTCCTTTATCAAAATAAATACCGTATTAAACTAATTAAAAAATGTAATATTTTCATAATGAAAAATTAAATATTTTTATCAAACGAATTCTCAATTTAGTAATTTATTTCATAAGAATAAAATTTATGTATTTTTTTTGCCAGTAAGATAAATATTCGCATAATTTTGATACACTATCGTATCGATGCCAAATATAACCTCAAAGTTTAAAAAAATTACGTAATTTACTCATTATTGCATTAAATTGAAAAGTTGCCAAATGACTGCCAGTGTATTAGATCTATAAAAATTACATGAAAGGAAATTAATATTTCATGCTTCATGCTCATGACTAAAGCCCGTAACTAAAGTACTTTAGTCACCGCAAAATTAAAAATTTACAAAATTTAAATTTTAAAATTTTACTGAAAATGACTCGTTATTATTCTATAATAACTCTTAAATAATTTGTTTCAGATATAACTTCCCTTGGCAATGCGTCAAAACAAATCCCCACCCCAAAATCATTCTGCGCTCGTTACGTTCCCCATCATATCACGCTTGGCGGAGCGCAATGGGAAACAATGATCTCTTCTGGTCCAGCGCGCGTCCCAACGCAAAGCGATATTGATTATCACACATTCACATTCACATTCACTCGCCGTATTGACTCGCTCGCGGCTATCCGGCGATTATCAACTCGAGTAAATCGCATCCGCCATCAACGCAGCGATAAACATCTCTTTAAAACAACAAATATTTATTTGTAAATTAAATCAAGAAAATTAAATAAAAATGAATGAGACACTCCTGGATCCGTTCGCCAACGTCTTGTTCACATTGGATTCGATGGAGAACGGGACGAACACAACGAATAACACAGGTATGTTTTTATTTTGTTTTGGGTCTGATTTGTATACAATTTGTAAATTGTAAATTGATATTGTGCAATGATGTTTATGCTATTGTAATTGATTGCTTTGTTGAAGTGGACGAAGGCAATCGATTTATTTTGCCGCTATGGAGACAGGCTTATTGGTCTATTCTGTATGCGGGGATGGTAATTGTCGCTACCGGCGGCAATTTAATCGTCATCTGATTGTCCTTGCTCACAAGCGTATGAGGACTGTATTCAACTATTTTCTACGTAAGTAAAAAATTTATTATTAATTTTAATTTAATTTAAAAGTTTCCATTTGATGGTAATGCAAACTCGTATTTAATTAAATTTGGTTTTTATTGGTTGCACGAAATCAATTAAAAATATTTATTTCATTTTAATTTAATAAAAAATAAATATCAGGCGTTGTGTTGACAAATTTTACCACCTTATATCTGACATTTTCGTCTAATCGGTATAAAATGTGGATTTTTTAAAATGGAAATAAAAAAATTTGTTTTAAATGTTATTAAATACGTGATTTATTGGTTATTTGAAGTACTAAAAGTTTTAGTATACAGTTTTTATAGTTTTAATGGTTGAGAAAAGAAAACTTTGATTTTTCTCATATAAACGAAAGTAAATCATTTTAAAATTCAAAGTAATGGTTTTGTGCTGTACCGTAGGCAAATACGCAGGCGCAAATTTTACCCTGTGATTAAAAACCCGTGACTAAAGTAAATTTTTATTCACGGTTTGATCCGTCCATGTGTAAAAATATATATTTTTGTGTTCCTAAACCGTGAAAAACCCGCGTTTTAAAAGATGAAAGTAAAAAAAATTTTATTAAAAATTCTAATAAATAAAATGATTTATCGGCTAATTCTATATATTAAAGTTTAAGTGTACTGCCTTTTATAGTTTTTAATAGCCGAGGAAAAGATAAACTATTTCTAAGGTAAAAATCTTTAAAATTTGAAATTATTAAAGATATGAATTAGATTTTACCTAAAACATAAATTTTCCTCAAGGCGTTAAAAATACGTAATTACAAAATAATAATTTATTTTGATTTTATAATACTAAATCCCTTGATTTTTTACTCTTATTTTATACCATCAATGTTTAAATGCTTCGGTAGACAGCGATCACGTTTTACAACTCACTTCCCGTTCACTTTTTTCCTGTTTGAAACGAAAATTGCACAATTTAATATCATTACAACTTCCATTTTCGAAATTCCGTGCCGCGCGTGGCTGGCGCTTCGCTTTTTTCTTTCTCCCCTCGCTTCGTTTGTGTGCGCGGCGGCGTATTTTCCGCAACGGCGGAGTCGAGACCCGAGATGCCAATCGGTACTGCTATTATGTATTTGGTCAAAGCCGCCCCCACGAGACAAGTTCTTTTAACTCGTTTTAATAACGCCGGCGCCCTGGAGGTGGATACTGCATCAACGCTCGCGACACCCCGCGACGACGTTTTCGGAGGCCCTGTCGAGGATTAAAGTTCTTTTTAACTCGTTTAATAACCGCCGGCGCCCGCGGGAGGCGGATGTAATTGCATCAACGTTCGCGATACACTCGCGACGACGTTTTCGGAGCGACGATGTGGACGTGACCGACATTTTGCGAAACAATATGGACATAATGGTAATGGTAAACTTCTAAAAAGAAAAAATATTTGAAATTTTGAACGAATATTACAAGTTTTTTAAGAGTGGGATTTTTGAAAAAGAAAAAAATATATTGCGTTTCATTTGCAATAAAACGGGGTATTAATTTATGTAGGTTTCAGAATATTTGATCAATTTTGTGCATTTAATATTTTTATAGATATATCTGTATAATTGAAAGCAGACGTATGTATTTTATTGGAAAGCAATTCAATAAATTGCCCTAAAAATGTTGAAAAGTAAATTTGATATTTTAGTTTCGCTGTTTTTTATTTTTTCATTTCTACCGACGTATGCTGAAATATATTATTTGCGGATACTTAATACACTTTTTTTACTTCCATCTTGAAAGCTTCAGTTTTTCCACGGTTTTGAGACACAAAAATTGGTATTTTAAACACACACCGCCAAGGTCGTGACTAAAGTACTTTAGTCACAGGTTTTAGTCACGGAGTGGACTACAATATTTCCTCATAACATTTCCCTCCGGGACAATTTCTTATTAAAACTATCAATTTGCAATTTTTACAATTTTTGGGGTTTTCATTGATTTTGTAAAAAAAATACTTTTAGTTATTTATAAAAAATATTTTCTTAAAATTAACAATACGTTAACCCCAAGAAAATCCTTTATTTCTTGTATAAACCCGAATGTTTGAGGAGCATTAACAAGTCCAAAACAAATGTTTTTCAAGTGTCCCTAGTGTCTCCTCCAAACGCGCATTGAATAACAACACTGAATTAACTTCTGCTTATAATTACTTTAAGACATTTATTAATGAAGCACTGCGTAGTTTTTAAATCATATTTTCATACTTTGACAGACATTTTATCGTAGTTTTTACAGTACGATAAAAAATCTTGAATAATTGGAGAAAGAAAATTATTAAACTTGTTTTTTACAGTAAATCTTTCAATAGCGGACACAATGGTCTCGACACTAAACGTCACCTTCAATTTCGTCTACATGCTGAACGCTGATTGGCCATTTGGTAAATTGTACTGCAAAATAACGCAATTTATCGCGGCTTTGTCTATCTGCGCATCCGTCTTCTCTCTAATGGCCATTTCTATTGACAGGTAAGTTTTATTACCTTACTTACTAAAATTTTATTATAATTTTCTTTCAAAACATTTTTTAAAATATAAAAATATTTAATCTGAAATCCACCGGCTGGATTTCGGTTGAAATAAGCTCTCAACTTAAGATTTGATTTGAATTGGATCGCAAAGAAATATTATCGATAAGTTGATTGAAACTGAAGACGAACGAATTCGGAATAAGAATAAGATTAGAAAAGTAGGTGAAAGTGGAGGTGGTTCCACGGTTTGTGGGCCTTAAAGAACGATAACGTGAACGTGAAGTGATGCTGGAATCGCTGAGGACGTTAATTAATCCACAAGCCGTGAAAACCGCGCCGCTTTGGTTTTCGCAAAGCTGTAAATTGGATTAATGCGAGTCGCAGGTTTTTCTTCCAATGCACAATTAAAATTTTTATTGATTTATCCCAAACATTAATTACAATCGCATCTACCCCTAAAAATAATAAAATCATCAAAAAATTCTATTATCCAATCATCGTTATCTTGTTATAATCGAAATAAAATGGGATCATCGACAAAAAATAATCCAATTGCTGGTAGTACAATGGATTTTTCTACAAAAACAAAAAGCATGAGTTGGCGCTTGAGTTCGCGTTTGATTTCAATTTTGATTCGGATTCAGATTCAATCTGTGCTACGATGCACGCGCGGCAAATTCGTTTTTCGTCTATCTTTAGCCCTTGAGCGTATGCAGAGTTTGGGCGGCGGCAATTTGGACTACACACGCGTTCCCGTAAAACTTTTCCAATAATGAACTGGAAACGAATACGCGCAGCGCTCGTCCTCGTGTGAGCTATCAAAATTAAACAATCTGATTACCAAATGGTAATGAAGCTATTTGTTAGGGCAAAGCGGGGTGTTTATTGTGGTGATTAATGAAATTTATTCTTGAGATTGAATTAAACTACGTGTCAACTACAATTTAAACTTTTTACTACTTCATAAAAGTTTATTTTATTTACTTGTAGTAACAAAAAGTTTTAATTATGATTTATATTTGGTTAAAATAATGATTTTTATTTTTGTTAAGTCAAAAAATTGTTTTTTTATGTTTTTGACCTAAAAAGTCTTTGACTCTTTGATATGTTTGGACTTTGGACTACTTTTGGATAATATTGTTTTCCACTCTGTGTATCACATATCCTAGCCTACTTTTGACAACATGGCACTCAACTGTTTACTTTACTTTATTTTCTTGATCTCTGCGAGAAACCAAAGGAGTTTATGGCAAATAAGCAGTGGGAAAGTTTGTGGATGATGTTTTCGTTGTTGTTGTTGACAGATACATGGCGATAATGACGCCGCTGCGGCCGCGAATGGGCCGAATTGTCACTCTATCGCTGGCTATTGCCACGTGGGTGCTCGGCGCCATCATCTCCAGCCCCAATCTGTACGTCTACACTACGTTCGCGCTACCGGAGAGAATAATCTGCTATTCGGAGTGGCCTGATGGTCTTACAGGCGTATCAAAGTTGGATTACATGTAAGTTATTTTTTATAAGATATGCAACCAATATTACATTGTATTACCATATAAATCATAGTTTTGTTAGTTACATCATTTATAATTCAAGAACGGTTGGACAGATTTTTATGATTTTTGGTTTTGGATTTGTCTTCAGCATGAATAAGATAAAGAGTATTAAAATATCAAAAATAATTATTTAAAGGGTGTTAAATTATGGGTTGAGTATTGATACATACTGATATCATATTTATAGATAACTAGTTCAATTCTAGATAGCGCTAAATGTCATTATTAGCATTCCTCATTTCCTAAAAATAAAATTTCGTTTTAAGATATGCAACCAATATTACATTGTTTACCATATAAATCATAGTTTTGTTAGTTACATCATTTATAATTCAAGAACTTGGACAGATTTTATGATTTTTGGGTTTTGGATTTGTCTTCAGCATGAATAAGATAAAGAGTATTAAAATATAAAATAATTATTTTAAGTGTTAAATTATGGGTTGAGTATTGATACATACTGATATCATATTTATAGATAACTAGTTCAATTCTAGATAGCAAATGTCATTATTAGCATTCCTCATTTCCTAAAAATAAAATTTCGAATTTTATTGATGGAATCACCATATTCTAGTTCCAAGAAACGAAAAACTTAAAATTAATTAAATTCTACATTAAAACTACGTTCCCGAAGCCGACTTCCTAGTTTTATAAATTTTAAACTACATCTTAAAACGTTCCTTTGCCTAAAATCGCCCATAAAGGATAAAAGATGTAACAAAGCGTTTAATGAAACCCAGACGCAGATCAAGGAAGCGCAATCCAGCAGTGAAAAATCAGCGCCAAAGCAATTTTATTCACGCCACGGTTCACTGCCGCATTTTCCCCGTCACACGTCGCAAAGCAAAGTAAACTACGCGCCCGTAAGAAAACAAGCAACAAGCAAAAAAACGCGGCAAGCAGAAATGAGGCCCCGAAAGAGCCGCGCCTCGCTCACTGCGTTGCGTTCATCAAGAAAACGCTGCAGCGCACGTTTTCTTAGCAACGTTTCACTCTTTTCCGCTTGACGCTGCATAATTTGCGTTTTCCGGCATGGATTAAAAGCTCTTTGCGTACATTTACATACATTATATTACATTACATTTGCAACTCTTCTTTTCACTGCAGCCATAGAAACAATTTTGCAAGTAGTGTAGATAAGTACAATTTTACGGTGTTTGACGTCAGAGATATATACTGCAGTAAATCAACACCCTCTGTGTTTAATTTAGAATCAGATAAGTAACAGCTTATCAGCATAGCTTGTAAACTTTACGTACTACTTTTTACGATATAGTAGGTTATTTACAATGTAGCGTAATTAAATTTTTTCTTTTGACTTAATTTTAATATATTATCTTATATCTTGTAGAGGATTGTTCCTAGATTAAGACACTGCAATTTGTTCCTTTCTATCTCTCGTCAAAATTTGAAAAATTTCAAGTTTGAGTCAAATCTTTCACCTTTTTACCCTACGATATTTAATTATTTTTTACTCTAATCTAATAGAGAATTTTCTAGTCTTTCATAATCAGCGATTTGTTGGTTGCTATCTGTTTTAATTTAAGAGATATTAATTATTGAAAATCGTCGATAAAAATTATCGACCAACCCCTTGGCAATTTTTTTCTGAATTAACATCTCTCAGATTTGCGTTTTAACTATCCTATCTTATTGAGAATAGTCCGTAGATTAAGATGCTGCGATCAGATCTTATTTATCTCTTTTAGTTTACGAGATATTCGCGATTAAAGAAAATGCTCAAAAATTGAAAAATGTCACTTTTAGCACTTTTAGTCGCGTTTTTCGACCTTTACTGTTGGAAATATTATCATTTTATATTTTTATCTGATAGAGAATTTTCTAGTCTTTCATAATCAGCGATTTGTTGGTTGCTATCTGTTTTAATTTAAGAGATATTAATTATTGAAAATCGTCGATAAAAATTATCGACCACCACCCCTTGGCAATTTTTTTAAGAATTAAAATTTCATCTCTTAGATTTCCGTTTTAACTATCCTATCTTATAGAGAATAGTCCGTAAATTAAGATGCTGCGATCAGATCCTATTTATCTCTTTTAGTTTACGAGATATTCGCGATTGAATAAAATGGGCAAAAATTGATAAATGTCACTTTTTAGCACTTTTAATCGCATTTTTCGACCTTTTACTGTAGGAAATATAATCATTTTATACTTTTATCTGATAGAGAATTTTCTAGTCTTTCATAATCAGCGATTTGTCGGTTGCTATCGCTTTTAGTTTAACAGATATTAATTATCAAAAATTGTCGAAAAAAAGTATCAAGCACCCCCCCTTGGCAATTTTTTCTTAAGAATTAAAATTTCATCTCTCAGATTTACGTTTTAACTATCCTATCTTATAGAGAATAGTCCGTAGATTAAGATGCTGCGATCAGATCTTATTTATCTCTTTTAGTTTACGAGATATTCGCGATTAAAGAAAATGCTCAAAAATTGAAAAATGTCACTTTTTAGCACTTTTAGTCGCGTTTTTCGACCTTTTACTGTTGGAAATATTATCATTTTATATTTTTATCTGATAGAGAATTTCCTAGTCTTTCATAATCAGCGATTTGTTGGTTGCTATCGCTTTTAGTTTAACAGATATTAATTATCAAAAATCGTCGAAAAAAAGTATCAAGAACCCCTTGGCGATTTTTTCTTAAAAATTAAAATTTCATCTTTCAGACTTTCATTTTAACTAGCCTATCTTATAGAGAAAAGTCCGTAGATTAAGACGCTGCGACGCGATCTTAATTATCTCTTTTAGTTTACGATATATTCGCAATTGTAAATAATTGTCTAAATCTGAAATATTTCAATTTTTAGCACTTTTTATTAAATTTTGTATTTTTTTTACCCTACAATGTTATAGTATATTCAGAAAATATTCAGAATCAAGGGGCTTATGGCAAGCTACAAAGCATCGCACAAAGAGGAGAGGAAGATGATAGGAAACACTGTATATTTGTGTTCTTTTATTCTCTAGTAGGCTAAATCATATACAATTTTGAAAACACAACGATTCTAAAGAAGTTTTCACTTCAAGAAGAAAAAACAAGTTCACATTTTTAAGTAAAGAACAGATTTTTGTTGACTAATAAGATAATTTATAGTTTAAACCTTTATGAATATTAATAACTTAATATTGACTGTATTCCAGGTATAACGTGGCATTCCTCTTCATAACATATGTGGTACCCATCCTCGCGATGACGTACACCTATACCCGCATCGGCCTCGAACTGTGGGGTTCGCAGGGCATCGGCGAGTGCACTCAGCGGCAAATGGACAACATCAAAAGCAAGCGGCGGGTAATATACATATCCTAATATCTACCCAATCATCACATTATCGAGACTGCTTCATATCTTAATGCTTGCATGCGTTTATATACGTACATTAGGTAATTGGTTGAAGCCTAATAACGCTTCATAGAACACACAACAAAAATTTTCATTTTATTTCAAAAAATATTCTAAAATATCTATAATATAAAAATGAATCGCAAAATCTGTTGGTAAGCGCATAACTCAACAACGCCTAGACCAATTTGGCCAATTATTTTTTTAAAATGTTTGATAAAATTCAAGGATGGTTTTTACGTCGAGAAAAATTCAAATAATTGCCGAGAAAACCCTAAAAACAGCCATTTTCTATAGGATGACAGTTGGCATTGAGATTCAATCATAGTTATAGTTAAATAGTTGAATCCGAGATGGCGCGCTGAAGTGTATTATTAGCTACTCTTTATATAATTAATTTCTTTAAAATAAAATTGCGAATCTAATTGTTAGAATTGACACATACTATGTCTAGAACAAGAGAGTAAAAACAAATAACATTTTTATTTAAGCTAGTTTATTAATAAGAATGTTTCTTTATAGGTGGTTAAAATGATGGTCGTTGTGGTGATCATTTTCGCCGTCTGCTGGCTACCGTTCCATTTATACTTCATCATAATAGCACACTTCCCCGAAATTAGCAACTCCAGCTACATTCAGGAACTTTACCTGGCAATCTACTGGCTGGCGATGAGCAATTCGATGTACAATCCGATTATCTACTGCTGGATGAACGCACGGTGAGTCACAACGCCGCCATCATCATTAATAACACTAAACATGACGAAATAATTCGTTATCTTCACGCGGCGCAATCAAAAACGTGGAAAATTTGTTCCGAATTCTTTAATTGCGCGCCGAAATTCACCTCGTTAATCATTGCAGATTAAAGCATTAGTATTAAGCCTAATTAATGGTTTGATACCTTTCACATTTTCATTAATTCATTAATTATTCGTTAATATTTTCGCGAAAAAGGGGCGAATTCGATTTGTAACGGTTCGATGGGGAAGGCGTTTGGGAAATCAACGCGTTCATTCATCAAATGTTAGTCTTAGGCGATAAATAACGTCTTCGGACTTTAATTATTAATTTAATAATGTATGAATTAATTTATTGGGGAGTGAAAAGTCCTTTTGAGTGTCTTTGCAGTGAAAATCAATGAAAATTAATTTAATTTTCTTAAATTTTAAATTTTATGCTAAAATTTTTAACAAAATTAAACAAAAATAGTCTTATAAGGTAAAAAGTAGTCTGAAAACATTTTACATGACTTAATTTGCTTGTCAAGTAGCAGATTCTTCTGAAATTTACATAAAAATCCTAAAATTTCAAATTTATTAATATTAATTTGTTTATTCTGCGTTATACTGCTCTTAACCGAGATGATTTAATAGAAGTGGCAACTTTAAGATTTGTTTTCGTCATTTTAATTACGCGTCAGACTGGATTAAGACATCAAGAGGCCTAAACGCTAATTGCGCCATGTATAATTCCAGAAATTTCACTTTATGACTTTGTAGGTCCGGAAATGAGTGACATCTGAATATTTGCGTCTCGTGTGGTGTGGTGAATCCAATTTGTAGGCTTCATTTACCTATGTCAATGTGAATACTCAATGTGCTTTCTTGTTAAATTGCGTTTTTTCATGCGCAATTTTCAATCTCTTGCAAACCATGTAATATTATTATATTATTATGTATGGTTGGTTGCCTATATGACTTTTACAAAGGGTAAAAGTGCATTTCGAGGTTAAAAGTTAAAACAATGAGGATTTACAAAATGCACTCTCTTCAGTTTAAAAACTTTATTTTGAGTTATTAATTTAGGATATACCGAGTGTTTTGTTGAAGGTATTAATTTGTTTTTATTAAAAATTCTTTTTTTCTTCGTTTGCACCATTAATATTTAAAATTCTGACTTTTAAGGTTATATCCTTATCTCATCACTTAAATATTTACCTTCCTGGAGAGTATACGGTTGAATAAAAACGATATCCATCAAAGTGGTATCAAATCGAATTATTTTACGGCCAGGTGAAACGGTCATAAACCGAACGCGACGCATTTCGCCCGCCCCAATATATCGTATTATTCCAACCGCAGCCGGAGCCAATTCCATCGGCGGTCAACCGCAAAGTTGCCCCGGACGGCTTTATTAACGCCCTCGGAGCGCACGCAAGCCCGTCACTATCGAGTCAATTAACTTGCTAATTAGTCTTTATAGCGTCGCGCCTCCAGCGCGGCGGCGCGCTCGCGAACTATCGCGAAAGTTGGCCATCTGTGCAAAACGTCGTAATTGCCACTTAATTCAGCCTTTAAAACTGTAACAATCACGCAACTAGTTTGCGTTTGTTACAAACCAAATTATTTCATATTGAAATCTACGAGCTACGAGAGAATGGATGGAATTTTGCTTTTGCTCGCGGGTATTATTCGAGTGGATATTATATTTTTACGCTGAAAGTTTCAACTAGTTGCGCAATGGATATTTATGAAAATTCCTGCAAGTGACACAAGCATTATTACATCACATAGTTTTACGCTATTGTAATTTTATTAAAGCAAGCTTCTTGGAAGCCCCGCTACGATTTCTTTAGAAATATAAGTCTGATGTTGAAGAAAGTTAACAATAAAAATACCTGGTACGTATTTCTTACGATTTTCTGTGCAACGGGTGGAATACGTTGCAGTCACGTGACTGAGAGACTCGGTAGCGCACACACGAGTACCGACACACTACCCCCACCACTATTAGCGGGTCAACCGCAGATATAATAGGCCAACGCCATCTGTGAATCGTCTAGAGAAGCACTCGTTTATTTTCCCTTATTTTTTTCTCATTTTTTGCTTTTTAATCTTTTCTAATTGCGTATTACGAATATTTTTCTCCATTTTTACTACTTTTACGTATTCTGTGTGATGGATAATAATTATTTAATTTTTTTTCTTTCATTTTTGATTAGAGTAGTTAATAAACTTGTTAAAGTGTATTAGAAAATAACTCAGTCATAGGTAAAAGCCCTAGAAAATACCGCGCAGCCATAAAAATGCGAAGACGCTCTTGAAATTATTAAATTCCACAAGCTGCGGGGTTGGACATGCGACGACCGTCGGTTGATAATTAATCGATTGCTTTTAATTAAGCGGCGCACAGTTGACGCGCTTCCGATGCCTTTATTTATGTTTTCATTTCCGATGTGCCGCATTGACGTGCTTCGGCGCTTCTTCTGTCTTTGATTGAATTAATCGTGTCAAACAATTAAAATATAATAATTAAATTATATAATAGAGATACCAAAATACAATAGGACATCACTGAAGTTTGGTTATGTTGTATATGTTGCAATCGAAAGGATATGCATTTGCTTCTAATCAAACTAGTTCACAATTGCGTTTCATTGTTATTGTCAACGAGAATTGCACACATGAATTCCAAACACGATATGAATTCAATTATCCGGTTGAATAACTATTACCTAATATGTGTATGATATGTGTTGATGGCGTGTATGTTGGGTTGCAGGTTTCGGCGTGGCTTCAAACAGTTCTTCTCCTGTTTGCCGTTTGTCGACACAAGTCCTGGGGCGTTCACGCGCCGCGAAGTCTTCACTAGTAAACGGAGATCCTTTGTCGGCTCACCCGATCATAACCGATTAATGCGTAACGGCAGAAACGGTAATTATAATTCTAACTAATCATCTACATGCTCTACTTGTAAATCATAAATATCAACCGGAAACGGCATGTTAAGTAAATTTATTTATTTTTCAAACATTTATTTGATTCCGTTTTGTTCCAAGGTTACTACTTTCGTTTTCGTTCAAATTTTGACCAATAAACACACGGCTTTTGGCTGGTAAACAAATACCCACCACTAGCGTGCCGCAGATATGATTGATTGTTGATTTTGCTTGATCAGGTACTGTAAGGACGCACGTAAATGTGAACCTTCATCAACATCATCCAAATCAGCACACTGACGAGCACACTCTGTGCACACATATTGCAGATGAGTCGAAAGGACGCGCGATGAAGCGCTGGGGCGCACACCACCACCAGCAACAGCAGCAAGCGTCGCCAGATGGCCGCAATAGTCATCTCGACTGGCAGCAGCATCAGCAGTGGAAGGATACCTCCGACGATCGCCTGCATCAACGCACGTGGATCTAGTGCCACACCTCGCGGACGGTGCAGATCCGCGAGGAGAATAATCAGTACGCTGAAACAAGAATGTGAGTGCAGAGGCATCATCGATTCACATACACACAAGTTAATATGACATTGAAGTAGTTATGTGAATAAGATGTCCGCCGGTAACCTAATTGTGGTAAGTTTTTGGTTTGTTTTCGCATTGGGACCATAAAAATCAAGAAATTTAACATTTTAACAGGGTAAGGTTTGGTTTCGTAGTTAATTTGATATGGAATACTTAGCTATACCAACGAAAACCACTAACTAAACGTACATATACCGAATAACATCCTTAAATGTATTGTAAACAAATAAAAATATGAAAATGTAAACATTTTTAGGAGTAGGAAGAGTCCTAGCTTTAAATACACTAGCAAACCCCAAATAATAGTAGATATTAACACAGGATTTAATTTGTGATGTATTAATATTTGTTGTAGTATTAATTAGTTTTTATAAGGCGAATATTTAACCAAAGTTAACCCAAAAAATTATAAATTTGTTAAGTTGGTAACCGCCATAATGAATTTAGGTGCAAGTAAAGTTGCATAACACAAAAAACAACCCAAAGTTATAAAAATCATAGTAAATTTTGCTTTTTAAACATAATTGAATGCTTTAATTCGATTTAAGAGAAATATAAGAAGTTTTTTGTATAATTTCAATCAGATTTCATAAAGTTTGAGCTTTGTTTCGTTAAAATTCACTGTAAATAAAGAAAAGAGACGTTTTATAACTATTATCATAACAAAAATACAATGTATAGCACTTAAATGTATTGTAAAAGAAATTTGCACATGAATTTTCCATAATGTCAGTAATCCGACAGGAAAATACGGCTTAAATTAACTTATAAACTAAGAAAACGTGGTGTCCGAGCGCAAATGTCTATAATTTATCCAAAATCACAAATTTCTGAAAATATTCATCGTTATTTTCGAGCTTAACCCATAAATATCAATAAAATGTGCAAATAAACGCATCACAGAAGAATATACGTGTAATATAAACAAGATAAATGGGCAAATGACATATAAATGTGCAACAATGTTATATTTTAATATTTTAACATTATAACACATTTGACAGAGTAGATGAGTAACAAAATTGGCACGATTAAGATTACTACATCTTGGGAAAACATAAACGCTTGCCAGTGTCTCCGATACCTGCGTACTCTCTCCGCCAACTTGAAAACTCAAATACAGTGATATGAATAAATATGATAGAAATGTGACAGATATTGTGTAAGGAGAAAAGAAAGCATTTAGTCTGTAAGCAAATACGTTTAAATGAAATGAAAGATGAGAATATATTTGATGTTTTCACTGTTGATCAGAAGATAACAATAAAATTATGTTCTTAATAAATTCTAGTGGTTTTACCAATAGATTATCAACAGTTTTGTATTAAAAAATACTTTAATTTTCATAAAATCTTAAATTTTTAAGCAAATCGATTTTAACAGTCAAATTGTAAAAAATATAGTTTTAGTTTAGTTATTATCTCACAGTCTGTCCGATCACCTTACGAACAAAAGTATTGCTCGCAATATAAAACTCTCTCTTCTCGTAGCTTTCCACCGCATCGATGGAAATAATCGGCGATACATCCGTCATGCCGATCGACTCGGAATAGTTGGCTATGTCAAACAACTTCCAATCGTCTATAACGTAGAAATAAACAACGCCGCTGCTCAATCCAATCACCAGTGTATTCCCATAGAGGTAAACGCAAGTGATGAACGCATTGAACACCTCCCAAGGTACGAACATCTTCTTACTATTCCGCTTTTCCTCATCATTCAGGATAAAAAGTTCGAAAAGTTGCTGTTGCATTATATCCATCGCTACAGAAAAGAAAACAAAATGGCGGTGTATAACTGGTTGCATAAGTTAAATTTTCTATTTCGATTCTTACATTTTGTGACGGTAATAATAACTTTATCATGAAAGATAAAAACATCTCGACGCATCATGTAGTACACATTCGAAAACTGTAGAGTAGTAAGTTCAACAGCCATGAACTGTGAGCTTTTACTACCTTCTTTGTAATTTATCACTCTCACTTTGTCATTGACAAGAATCAAACACACGTTTTCCCAGAGTGTGCAACTTTTGACAGTGTCAGGTGAATAAATCCGCGCATAAGTTACAACTTGAAACGATTTCTTGCGGTTTGCCTCGTCGTTGCTCACTTTTGCTATGGTAATATGTCCTTCTTGTGATACACCACACATAAAGTTCTTATAACTGCTGAAAATGTAACAATTGTAGAATGTTCCAGGCGCGTACGAACCGCGAAAATCGTTGATTATCACTTTATCTTGATAAGCAATCAGTAATTCTGTTGGGGGTTTTGTTTCACCTGAAGCTAGATTAATACTTGATAATAAATAAACTAGTTTTGATTGTGTTTTGAGGAAAATACTTACTTGGCAGTTCTCTAACAAAATGTATTGATTGAACTTGCACAATTAAATGCCTGTAAGTTTCTACAACGGATCCGGATTTATTAAAAACTTTAACTGAACCATTAGTTAGTCCGATAGCGATATAATCACCTGAAACAAAGTTTCTTTTAAATATTTTTGTGTTAAATTTTGTGATTTTGTGTACCAATAACACTAAAACATGATATTTTATTGATTTTCCAAGTTGTGCCCTTGTGAAATTGAATATTCTGCTTAATATCATGCCAGCACATCCAGTTTTCATACAGTTGCTCCCAATTGATGCATTTGTCACTCGCAGCAAGCCATTTGCTCTTATATTGTAGTAATTCTTGAGCTGGTATGTCCTGATGAACACATTTGTGCCATAAATTATGTTTCTGTAATAATAAATCATAATTTAATAGAAAAACATAAAAAACTCAACGTTTAATGATACAAATTTAAAGTTTAAATACTTTTGTGACGCATACCTGTACCAAGTATTCAACGATTTGCTGCCATTCAACACACACTTTTTCGGCAACTTTGAGCGTCTTCCCATCGCAGTGCAGCAGGATCTTCTCGACCACCTCGCGCGAAAACATGTCGTGCACTTTTAACGATGTTTGGTAGTGAATAAGTTTGCCGTTTTTTCAACAAAGGGCGTATTAATAGATGACTTTTACACAAAGCGGAGCAAAATGTGCAACATTCGGTGCGCCGGCCGAGACATTTCGCAGGATTAAAAATACACGCACTGCGTGCAGCCGATCTGCGGCGAATGAATTATCGTGCGAACGATTTACGCCAACAAAGTCGCATCCGGGCTGTGCACAAACACAAGCCAAAACGTTTTTAAAACTAGGAAAATTAAACAGCGCAAGGAAAACACGTAGGTGCATCAAGGTTATGTTATTTGTTATTGTTTGGAGGTTCAAATATATAAATGAAGTTAATATTTAAATAAACACAGTATTAAAATATATTTTTAAATAGTAATAGTTATATTTCTCAACTTTATTTCTTATATTAGATTTAAGTTTAATTTGTTTTGTAGTTAAAATAAAAAAAACTCGGCATGAAGTTGCCTATAACAAATAACGTTATTTCTTTTAATTTTAAACTGTTTATTGATTATTGCAAATAATGCATTTTGGTTAAAATGAATGAATTGTACAACTTTTGTATTATGAATATATACCTGTTGTAAGTTTAAATTAAGACTTAATTCTATAAGCACAGTGGTACCAACCTAATCTGTCAAGAAATTTTTTCGACGCGAAAGTTATGTCAAGTTGTCACAATTCTTTCAACCAAATGTTAACAACAAATATATATTTTAATTGCACATAAATAAATTCTAGTATATTTATAATATTTCTACGTATATCCTTAACAAGCTGTAAAGGTTTTCCGTGCAAATTCCCTTCCGACTTTGAGAAGCCCCGTCGGTTAAGTAGCGCCTTAACCGTGTCAATGTGGAGGGGGTGAAGGCGCGCGCGCCGTCAAGTTGGTGGGTCTGCATCGTCCGAATGCCGGATCCTTCAACATGGCTTCTTCAGGTTAGTGCAAATGATTATTTGCCTGTCACGTGTAACTTAAACACAATTCTCGCCTCGAAATAAAATCCATCCATGGCTGGTGCATGCCTCCATCCTCATGGCTGCACTCAGTCACCGCCGTTTATTTGAGCATATGGCGTCATTGCAACACGCTTTCGCCGCGGCATCGCGTGGTCGCCATGGCGAAAACCACGTTTCCATTTCTGCTATCACATCTAACGCATTAAACGAAATTACTTGCAGCAAGAAAGGCAAAAGCCGAAGGGCAAGACCATCTCTTTGAACTCGTTTCCTGCAGGAGACGCCTGGCAATGCGACCATTCCGATCCGCAAGGCGCCAAGCCAAACTGGGCTGATGAAGTTGAGGACACTTACGGTATGTTAAACAATCTATATTTCTAACAAAAATTACATTTTCGAATGTATAAGCTTGATACTGTTGAGTGAATTGAAACAAAATGAGATTAACATGATGATTTAGTGAGTAGTGATAGTTGAGTCAATTCGTAATCTTGCATCTGGGGCCCACAAAACAGAGCACTTGTTACTCCCTGGCCACGGGAAGGTCTGAGTAAGCCGATTTACGCTCTAGCTGGGCGCCTGGTTGCAGGCAAGGAACCAGAAATTGGTGGCTGTTGTTCACAAATCGGGGACCTTTTAGCGAGGTGCGTGAACTGCCGGCCATTGGAAACCTCTTGCGGCTGGTTGTTTTAGTTCAATCTGCAAGCTGCACGTGGCAAAAGCGTGCAGAACTCGATTCAGACTAATCTACAGTTGACTTGCTTCACTTCTCACACTGATTAATCTCAATGGTTTAAAATTATCACAAAATTAGCGCCAGTAAATTGTGTTTTTCTTAATAAAATCACATTTTTGTTTAAAAATTTTAAGATTCCTACGATGGAGGACGTCGCGAGGCGAAAAACACGAATGTCGTGTTGCCAACAGCACCAAAAGCAGCGCGTGGAATCGACGATCTTAGTCAAAAACTTCCCACGTCGCCACCCTTCAACGTCTACCTCTCAAATTTACCCTACGACGTAGAAGAGGATGAACTTGAGGATTTTTTTGCTGGATTAAAGGTAATACAAAGTTTTATTTGCCTTAGGTTGAACAATATTCATGTTTTTATCTTAATTATAGATTGTAAGTATGAGAATTCCGCGTGAGGACCGAATGGGCGAGGAACCACGTGTCAAAGGTTTTGGTTACGTCGAATTCGAGGACCAAGAGAGTTTAATTGAAGCACTTGAGAAACCAGATTGTGTAAGTTTTTATCATTTTAATTAAATTTAGATATTTGAGATTTAAATAATGTTTTTTTGTCAATTTAGACATTAAAAGGTCGTAGAATACGCATCGAAGTAGCAACAAATTCTGACAATGATCGGCGTCGTGGCCGCATGGATATGAACCGCCCAGATCGCCCGGAAGCACCCACCGGCGACTGGCGCTCTTTTGGTCGTCAAGAGCCTGAAGGTGGCCCGGAACGCCGATACAACCGCGATGGCGGAGGCGGCGGCGGTCGTGATTTCAACCGTGACGAGAACCGTAGCGGTGGCATGTGGCGTGATGGTGGCGAACGTCCCTCATTCCGTGATCGCGATGGCGATCGAGATCGGCCGTCATTCCGAGACAGGGACGGCGATCGCGACCGTGGTGGTTTCTCACGGGAACCACGTGAAGATAAGCCTATCACTAGGGACGCGCCTCCAATCACAAGAGACGGCCCATCACGGTATGATTCTGGTGAGAGGCGAGGTTTTGGCGCGAGGCGGGATCGTGACGATCGGCCGTTTGAACGCAGCGATAGACGACCAGATGATCGTTATATGGATCGTGGTGAGCGGAATGGCGGTGTTAGGAGAGACGAAGAAGGTGGTGAGCCACGAACGCGTCCGAAATTAAATCTTGCGCCTAGGAGTGTTCCGGTTGCTGCTGAGCCAGCAGCAGAGAGTGCACCAATTGCAAAAGAAGGTGAAGAGGAAGGTAAAGAAACTGAGAGGGTTGCAGAGAAAGCCGAGCCTAAAGTGCCGGCTGCGTCGATTTTTGGCAGTGCGAAACCTGTGGATACAACTGCAAGAGAGCGGGAAATCGAGGAGAGGCTCGCAAAGGTCGAAGTTGACTCTGATAGAAGAAGAGTAAGTAATAAAATTTTATAAACACTTAAAAGTTTATTAATAAATTATTACTTTTTTGTTTTTAATTTAAATAGGATGAAGGTCGTCGTAGGTCACCAGATCGTCGGCGTCGTGGTGGTGATTCTCCTGATCGTGGCGAGTCGCCAAGTCGGCGACGTTCGCCGGAAATTCGCCGTGGTGGTGGTTCTCCAGATCGCCAACGTCAACGAGGTAGGTCCAATCGGCTTACCACCTTCTTTCTTCCGAAGAATTCCTTTAATTTTACTTGTAATCTCACACTAAAGAGGCTCACATACAGTGTACCAGTTACATTCTAAACAAAATGGCCACGGGAAGGTCTGAGAAAGGCTACTTTACACTCTAGCAGGGTGCCTGGTTAATAACCAGGGTGAGGGACCAGAAATTGGTGGACACTCTCAAGTCGAGGATAGTTTTATTGTTAAAACTTAGATGAACAGAGTGGTTTCACTTGGAAATACCTCACTGCCGGCCGTTTTAGTTCAATTTGTGAGCTGCGCAAGCGCAGAACTCGATTCAGACTAATCTACTAGTAAGATATTGGTGTGTTTTGGAGCAGAGGGTGAACTTTTCTGTTTATTTCAAGGTGATGATAGGAGACCGATTAGACATGATCGTGATGAGAAGCCGCTGGACAGGAGGGATCGAAACAGTAGCCGGGATAATCAAGAAAAACGGCCACCAAGGTAAAATTAATAAATTTTGTGTTGTGATTTGGGTTGCCTATATTTTCAAGTCTAGAAATTTAGTAGAGCTTCCGAGTTAAACCCGAATTTACAAAATTTTGTAATTTATGTTAATAGAGAGTATACCGAACGTGACATGCCGAAAATAAAAACGCCGGAACCACTCAACATTGTCGGCGAGAACAAGTTCGCCTACTTGAACGACGAAGGCGAAGATGACGAAGATGAAGAGTAAGCAGCCGCCGAGCCGAGAAGAAGACCACAGCAGCAGCACTCAAGCCTTACATTCGTTTGTTTTGTATCACCCGCGACGCGCATATTTCTAATTTCTAATAATAATCACTTTATACCGGACGTATCAGTAAGCGAGAACAGTCGGGGTGGTTGTTACGCTGATATCGATCTAATTTTAAGTAATTTGTGTCACATGCAGTGCCAATCCGTGCGGGCAATCTCCGGCATAGGTAAATGATGAATTAATTCATATACAAGACTATTTTTAAACAAAAAATGATGAAAAACCCGATGCGCATGCGACGAAAGGAGTGTAAAAAGTAGTAGTCAACTCTAGTCCAGTATAATTTGCATTCGATTATTTATGTATTTTTTTTACTACTGCAAACGGTTCAGCCAGAAGTGTATTTACTGTAAGATAATATTGGATTTCTTTGTATTAATTATGTCTTTGTTGCACGCGCCACGCTTCCATGGTTGATTCATGATGAAAACTGGTTTCTGTGTACAATTTTTTAATTATATTGGACTAGTGCACATGATTTTCTTACATTGTTAAGAATGGCGAGGAGTTTTGCATAATTTTATAAGAGAAAAAAATAGGATTAGCTAGATCTTATGCGATTTGATAATGAAAGATTAATTGTTTCGTAGGTAGGTTCGTATTTAGTGAGTATTAGTTACAATTCTTAGGTTTTGTTTTTTCCTTTGTAATGTTTGTGCCATTTGTTGGGGTTTTCATATTCGCGTGATTGGCACTTACAGCGAAAGAATGGGAATAAATATAAGTGGTAATCAATTGGGTTTTTTAAGTAGTTTATCAAACAAGCATCATTTTTTCAAATAATTGTGAATGTTGCTAATGTCAAAAGTGGCATATGCTCACACTAGGCAACCCAACATACACAAATAATTCATACATCGAAATTTTACGTTTATTATAACATATGGGTAACTTTTATTTGATCAAATCATGAAATACTTACACTTTCTATTATATTCTCATTGTTTTTGTATTCTGCAATGTTTCAAATCTGTTAAAATTTGAAAATATTTGTTAGTAACGCCACGACCAATGAGAGTTGGTAGCGCGCCTGCTGATAAATGATGTGGCCACGTTTGACGTTTCGCCGCGCCGTCGCACGCAAACCGACTGTGTAATATGTGTGTAATGTTTGTTGCGCCAACATAAATAGGTAGTTCTTGGCCGGCGGGTTCTGTTGTTGTGCGAATTGTAAAAAAAAGCAAACGTGGCCTGCCCGACAAACGCGTTCGCTCATTAAATGTCAGCGTTATAACAACGACACGATGGCTACGCGCTTGCTGCTACTTCTGGCTGTTCTGCAGGTTGTGCACTTCGGCACCGCCACGGAATTAACCTTCGAGTTACCCGACAGTGCGAAGGAGTGTTTTCACGAGGAAGTGCCGAAAAACACGTCGGTTACACTAGAATTTCAGGTGATACAATCAAACAAATGAATGTTGTTTATTAAATTCATCATAAATTCAGATAAAATTTTATGGTTATTTGTATACTTGTAGGTTGTTACTGGTGGACAATATGATGTGGATGTAACATTAGAAGATCCAAGGAAAACAATCATCTATCAACAAGTGAAAACTCAGTTTGATTCTTACACTTTTGTGGCAAACATTACAGGAGTGTATGTTGTGTGCTTCAGTAATGAGTTTTCAACATTTTCACACAAACTAGTCTATATGGATCTGCAAGTGGGTGAAGAACAGCCTCTTCCTGGTCTTGGGGAACATGTAACTGCGCTTACACAGGTAAATAATACAACAAGAAACTTATTTTTATTCAAAACCCTATACTCGTGTATGTTGGGTTGCCTACATTTAAAAAACTAAACAAATTTTCTTTCTTGTTTAAAATAGATGGAAACATCAGCGCAGGATATTCACAAAGCGCTGAACACGATCCTCGACTTCCAGACGCATCACCGACTGCGCGAGGCGCAGGGTCGTAAGCGTGCCGAGGACCTGAACGAAAAAGTGTTTTTCTGGGCTGTTATCGAGACGCTCGCCATCTTGTTCTCCGCCATTGGGCAGGTGTTCATTCTGCGAATGTTCTTCAGCGACAAGAAGTCCGTCTCACCGTATTAACAATAACAACTTACAATCTTAAGCCAATTTTCACCTCAGTAATGACACGGGGACAAACGCGGAGCAAAGTGGAAACGAAATAAACTTACATTTTGCTATTGTTAGGTAAATTATCTCGTTTTAGTAAATCAAAATTGCGTGCGTGCTAAACTGTACATTTTCCATGGTCGTCGCCCACATGAATAAATGGTCATCGTTTTAAAAATTCGATATTGATAAGGGTCACGTAGTTAACATCTAGTGATAATATAAATGCACGATGAAAGTGATTTAAAACGAGGCACATTTAAAGAAACACAAATTGCGGCTCTGATTTTTATCGTAGGATTTTATTATTTTAATAATAACTTTATCCGACGCAATACTAACAGAGTAAAGCGCCAGACGAGAGTTACACCCGATGCAAATGTGTACAAATAACTTATCGCTTCCTGCGTAGTTGCAAATGCGTCTTTCGCAGCCAGCCAGCGTGGCGAGAGCCTCCGGTTGTCTGCGAGTACCTGTGTCCCTTGCCAAGGCCGCGCGATGACCGTCCGGCGGAGGTCTTGCCGCGGAGCTCACGGTGCTTGTGCACGGCGTTCACGATCCAGTTAACTTTAGGATCACGACGAATAGCCTACAAACAAGAAAAACCTCATTAATATGGTCTGATAAATGACAGAGGAGAAAATAACTTACATTGTGTGAGGGTCAACCAAGATGATTTCAAAATATTTGTAAGATGAGTCTTGGGCAACCCAGTATGAGTTCAGGACGCGCAGACCACCGCAACGCCTGCCGACACGTTCCTAGAATGATTATTAGAATTCTTTTAGTTTTTTCTTTGAAATTAATCAAAAATCAGTTTAGATGTTAGTTTAAATATTCAGACATCCAAGGAAGTTGCTAAATCATAGTTTTATCAGCAGCTAAGTTGGTTATCATCATCTAATTCTTTTAATGTAAGAAGATATTAATAATTTGCTTACCTCTGCAAGAGACTGCAAGTTACGAACGGGTTTCAACTCGTTAACACCGTGGCTCTTTGGCTTGCCATAAGTGGCACCCTTGTGAACGGGACGTTTCCTGCCACCACGACGTACGCGGATACGGAATACGCAGAAACCTACAAGGAATCAACCATTAAGTTAATTATTATGTACTTTTTATTATTTTATAGTTATCTTACCTTGCTTTGCACGGAATCCCAAACGACGAGCTTTATCGGGACGTGTGGGCCTTGGTGCGCGGTGCATCTTCGTCAGCTGGCGATATTGCCATACTCGCACACGCAGCAAGAAGCGCAGTACGTCCGACTGCTTCTTGCGATACAACTCCTGAATGTACTTGTAGGCGCCCATGGTGACGGACCTGCAAGCACCGAAAACATGACTTAACCTCCAAGGGATAAAAACAAACGACGATCATTTGTGAAAATCGCCGCTGATGAAGATAATATGGGCCACCGAAGACGTGTTTAATATCTTCGTGGATAATTGCAGTGATGAAAATCGCTTACGATCAGTGATGGTCTGGATTTTGCGAGATTATTTAATTTCTGGTGTACAAACGATACCTACCTACCAGAGACGTAGAACGGAAGAGAGAAAATCGGTGCGGAAACGTAAACAAGTAATGGCGCTGTAGTATGGGCGGTAGGTTTGAATCGACCAATCAGGAGCCAGGAGAACATTAAGGTTGGACTTGTCTATTCAAAGGTATGCAACCCAAAATACTAATGATTTTTTAAACAACTCTTACGCCATTTTAATTTTTTATTAATTCTTACATTTTAATAGTTTATAATAGTTTAATTATTTATTTGCAAATGTTTAAAATATAATCAAAAGTGCAAAAACGCCGGACACCAACGCGCACGGGTAAGCAATCAAAGGTCTTTGTTCAGCATCTCCAGACATCGCGACAAAAAGCCGGCTTGCTGATAAACTCGACCATAAAACCGCGCATATCGCAATGATAATACCAATACTGCTATGTAGCGATACAAAGATCCCGATTACTGATAATCCAACAATAGGTAGTAAACAATAACCCAAAATACTTGCAACACTTGCCAGTGTAAAACAATCAGCAGCTGCAGTCATTAATGTTAAGAGAGCATACATCAACAAGCAAGAGGTCACAGATAGGCCATAGATGTACCCAAAATGTGCCTTACTACCTGAGATGAACAAACAACATGCTAATACCAAGCAAAAAGTGATAGGCCCAGCCAAATCAGTTTGTTTGCAGAGAAATTCAGCATCATCTGCAAGACTATGTGTTCTGAATGGGTTTAATACTGCTAGAGTCTTCTCCATGATTCTGTCCGGGTATATTTCAAGTTCTTCGAGTAGTGGTGGTTCATCTTCATCTTGATCTTGATTGAAATCTGATGCCATTGGGGTAAACATCTCTGGATATTGTGATTGTTGATAGGGCTCCATGTAGGACTTTGATGTTGTGTTATTATAATATGTGGAGTTTTCATCATTGAAGTTTTGAAAGTCTACAACATATAATAATGTAAAAAAACGGCAACAAAACAAGAAATAGTTTATACCTAATTTTTGAGATTGCATTGCAGAATATTCCATCTCAGGATTATTGTAGAAGTCTTGTTGACCTGGGCGCGCGCCCGGCTGCCAGTAATCGCTGTTAGTCTGCGAGTAAGCCATCGTAGTTTTTCTTGGCGTAGACTTACGCTAGTTTTATTTAGAATTTATAAGAATGATGTGGAATTTGATGCAATGTAACTAATTTTAACCTAAAGCAAATGTTTTCGTGGATGACAGATGATTTTGTGCGATTGCGCATGTGCAATGGAAACAAAACTAAAGAAAAATCAACTTTTTTGCAGTGAAATTCAATGATATTTAGGAATATCGTTGATAACTGAAAATAATATGGTAGTTTAAAGATACATCTGCAATGATGGAGTTATATTGCGTGTGAATTATTTAATTAACGCGTCAATTAATTAATTGAACTTGAAGAAATGGCTTCCTAGATGAAATGTGGGTGTTTAGTCTAAAAGAAAAGACTGAGAAGACTTGTAGTTAGTACATAGAAAGGTATTTATTATGTTTAAGAACACTTTTTTGATAGTTGTAAATCATTGGTTACATTATTTATAACGCATTTTGTTACTGTTATCGCAATATGTTTTTCTTGAGGTTATTTTATAAATCAACACGTTGTAAAGTCTGTTTCACACTTTTAATCAAACATTTCTTCTCATTGGTTCCATATTTTGAATTATTTTTTATTTGGTGTTTATTAAGTTAACGTAATCACTCAGTATATTATTATTTATTTTAGTTTTACAACATAAACACAATTTATCATATATTTCGTCTTAGTGGCATTTTCAACAGTTGAAATTAATAATTTATTTTTTAATTTTATGATTTCAGTGCCAATAATAGCCAAAAATGAATAATAACTATTCAGTAGTAATAATAGGTGCTGGAATGGCTGGCCTAGGAGCAGCTTTAACACTTCAAACTTCCAAATCGCAGTTTTCCACTGATTTTATTCTCCTTGAAGCACAAAATCGTCCTGGTGGTCGTATCGAAACCCCTTCAGATTGGTTCCAGCACTATCGATTTGGGCGCGCAATGGGTCCACGGTACCGACACTGATTTATACGATATTTTACAAGAAAACAAACTTATTCATCCCGTCACTTCCGATGAAGGCCTAGGATTTTATGTCAGGGATGATGGTCATATCATTGATAACTTTTTAGTCAAAAAAGTTGACTTTGAAGTTGGAAAAATCCTAGAAGAATGCGAAGAATATCTGAATATTATTACAAATTCATCAGTTGGTGAGTTTTTGACTAAAAGATTTTCTGAATTTTTGAAACCAGTCAGAATATTCTGATGATGATAAAATAATCATGGAGGAATTATTTGATTGGCATGTCAGGTTTCAAATGATTGACAATTCTTGTGAAGATTTAAACAAGTTATCACTTAAAGAATGGGGAAGATATTCTTGTCTCGGTAAGGATGGACAGCAGCATGTTAATATAAAGGGTGGTTATGGTGCATTGGTAGATGTTTTGGTGAAGAAACTGCCTGAAAATGCGATTCAGTACAATAAAGTTGTACAAAACGTTGAGATTTCACCATCGGGCGCCATTTTGATTACGTGTGAAGATGGTTGCATAGTCCATGCGCAATCTTTGATTGTAACGTGCTCTTTAGGAGTGTTGAAAACCTTCAAAGGTTTACCCATGTCTCCCAGAGTGAAAATTACCATAGATAATATGGGTTTTGATGGAATGGGTAAAGTTTTTCTGGAATTTGATTCCAAATGGTGGGGGAGTGATTTCAATGGTATTCAACTAATCTGGCGAAATGGTAAAAACTATTCGGATGAGTTTCCTGACTGGTTAAGACATCTAAGCGGATTTGATTTGGTGTTGGATCAAAGTAATATGTTGATGACTTGGGTTGGGCATAAAGGTGTACGAGAAATGGAGGAAACCGATGCTGAAATTGTAGGAAAACAATGTGCAGCTGCTAAGAAAGTTTTGGCAGATGACAGTATCCCATTTCCTGTTAAAGTCTACAAGTAAGTTAATATTAATGCAAAACAACGAGGATTATTGTCCTTTTGTATTTTATTTAGATCAAAATGGCTGACAAATCCTTATATTAGAGGTGGATACAGCCACTCGACGCCATCTTGTGATTCGGAAGCATTACCGCCCGGGAGGACTTTGTGTGAACCGTTTTGTGATGAAAATAATGTGCCTAGGGTGTTTTAGCAGGTGAGGCTGCACATGAGTCGCATTTTTCTACGACGCATGGTGCTTTCGAATCTGGCCAAATGCAAGCTCGAAAGTTACTGAATTTTACTCAAAACTTCCAATATTAAAGAAAATATACTAATCTTAGTTAAGACAAAGTACAAATTTTAATTAACTAAATAAATGGAGCAGTTTCATACAAATTTTCTATCCAAATATTATTTGTACATTAACTTCAAACTATGTTTACGATTTTAAAAGATTTTCTAGAGGGCGCTAGTATCGCCAAGCTGCGCTGACGGCTGTCATTCCAACTAGAAGGCGGGCGCCATTGTTGTGCGTTATTGATTGTTTGTGCCTATCGTGCTTGGATTTCGCTGCTCTGCAAAATCATCTCATTATCCTGTACAAAATATTATTTATGCATTGTTGTAGTGCACGCTGACATACTGAATACGCGAGATGACCACGTTTCAAGAAACGCAGGAGTCGAGCGCATCGTTGAACGGCAATATGAAACAAGTAAGAACAGCATCACTAAATCTACCATAGACATAGTAACAATTTAGTTTACGGTTTATAATCTAATAATCAATATGTTATATCTTACTAATTTGCGTTTAGGATGGCGAATCACATGTGGACGATGAACCTCCGGCGCCCGGCACCGAAGAGCCGCCCAGCAAGAAAGTCAGAATTGAGCCTGTACCTGGTAAGTCTTTTCATGAGTCCTGCTGCCTTGGCATTATATTAAACATTTAAACTCATATGAGCATGAGTGTGTTCATATGCAGGGGCAGTCCAAACATAAATAAAACATATATAACAATATCTAAGTAAAGTTATATCAAGGGGACCTCATGTGACTTGACTAATGTGAGTTGTTTCGGTCTGCTTGAGATGTTGCAGAGGTTGAACTCGACTGGTTACTCGGTACTGTCGCCAGATGTGCTTGTGCTGTAACCGTTTTCCTCCACGGTTACATGGTAGGACATTATCACAGTGACAAAAGCAGTTTAAGCATGCACCACTATGAATTATCAAACAATATTATTCAAAATTTCCCATAAACTTGATTAATTTTAACTGAAATTGATGTAAATTGATTCCATAATAACCATAATCATATTGGGGCATGTTTAATTTTTGTTTAATTTTATTTAGTTTATAATTTTACGTTTTTTTAATTGCGTTGACTGTGTCACAGCGAAATCATTGACGAAGCGCTTGTCTTGTTCTCTAGTCGATTTCTATTTTCTTTGTGTTTCCAGATAAACTAGGTGATCCGTTGCGTTAAAAATTGTTAATAGTAAAACGTGTGCGCGCCCCCGTTCAACCGCCAGCAGAGCAACCAAACAAAACAATTCTGATTGCTGAACATATGAACTTACAATGGCTTTAATCAACATACATTTTGTTTTTGATTTCAGGTTCTGTCTCAATGCCCCTTTTCTTGTCTCATGTTCTGATGAAAAATACTTAATGCACATTTAAACTGACAATAGAAATATTCCAATGTCGATGTTCATCATTACTTAAATCAGGAAAACTAAAATTAAATTTAATTCCATACATGCATTCGTGTAATGTGAAGTCATTGGAATATTTATTGTGGGCATTAATTTCTGCTTGCTTATCGATTGTTTTGTTGTAGATCGAACGAATGGGATTACTTATTTCAACGACGTAATGCAAACAGGAGAAGTTGCCCCAGGTTAGTTTTAAATAAACATATATTTATTTAATTCATAACATAAATTTTATGTATAGGACCTGGCGCAAGGAGTAACACAATCGCTGGAATCCTTGGCGGTATTCTTCCGAAGTTGTCAATGGAACAAACTGAAGCCGTAGCCAAAGCGAAGAAGTACGCGATGGAGCAGAGCATCAAAATGGTCCTGATGAAGCAGACACTCGCCCACCAACAGCAGGTATGTGCCG